TACACACAAGTACACTCATGTACATGTATGTACACTAATCATACATATACATTCAACAAAGGACTAATATGTGTCCACTGGATGTCTGTTTGGATCACATTGTGGAAATTTTGTCTTTCACATGTGTGAAAAAGAAATTATGTCAGCACTCTTTCCCTATGAGTAATTACCACCTGTGTCAGATGAAGTACCCATCATCAACAGAGGCACCACTGATATAAATCCAAAATTGATTCGAATCCCACTGAACAGAGAAGAACCTGCGGCAGGGTGCACAAATTCATGAGAACAAGCATTTGTTGTTTAGTTCCTTCACCACACGAAATGGATAAACAGGTTTCTAGAGCTAAATTGATCTTATGAGATACATATGTTGTTTAAACCACTGTTCCTGGACTCTGACCCTGGTATGATGCTAGTGGGAAGGCTTAACCTTAGATCTTTTCCTGCATCCTATAGATTTGGAAGCCAGTGGAAAATGAGGTATAATGGAAGTCAAATAATAGCAGTTTATTACATTAAAATGTCTACGGCATGTTCTTATTTAAGCTCTGAAATGTCAATTTTTATAACAATATTAATTAATGTGAAAACTTAGCCAATAAATTAATTTTAATGTAAAATAGCCACAAAATAAATAATATCATGAATGAATTTCACCAAAGTTGTGAATCATTGAAAATTTGACTGGAACAAAATACCCCAAAATGCCACAGGAAGCTTGATTAAAATAGCACAGCAGAAAGCCTGGCACTGCTGGACTTCAAAATCCAGTACAGCATTGTAGAAATTAAACAGCATGTCACTGTGATGACAGACACATGATCAGAGGAGCAGAATATTCGCCAGAATCTGCAGGGATGGAGATGAGCTGATTCCATGAGTGGATGACATCTCTGACTTTCTCCATAGAGGAATGGTCTGAGGAGGAGAGATCGTAACTCCTGACATCTAGAATTCAGGGAAGGTAGAAGCCAAGAGTCCTGTGTTTTGGTGCTCACAGTGACTATGAGCATTTGGGGAAGAGACATGGGGGATCTACTTTAAATGTCCCAATCCCCAGATGAAAATGTTTTGCCAACTATGGAACCATTCCCACTGACGTTCATCTTTCCCTTGCTCTCCATTCATTACTAACACCCTCCATAGATTCATAATGTGGATAGTGGTAAACTCTGATCACCCAGTAGAACGTAGGATCCCAATCCCCTTCTGATCCTTCAAATCTAATTCAGAATCTTGCATCTTGACTACAAAAACTTCCTCTCTTCTCTGTCAGGTTCACATCCACCATCTCTCTTTTAACACCATTAGGTTTGTGTAGAGCAGGATTTGAACATGACACTGAAGAGAGAATGTCAGGGCAAATGAATTGATGCTCCTACAACATAATTGAAAGGCTTCATCACAATCAACAGAGTTCAGCAGAAGACACTGTTTAGATTCACTTGTCTTCTGACCCAAGTCACAGGAGTCAGTTCTTGCATATGTCTGCTCATCAAACTTGTGAGCTAGTATGGACCTTACTAGTACAATACAATGGTCAAACTCAATGTTAAAGACAAGTCCCTATTCAGAGCATAGAAAACATGGGGGTCCTGGCTATCTGTCTAGGTAATGACCACGTAGGTGCATGTTGTGTCCTGCAGAGAGATATCCAGGACTGGATGAGAACTGCATTTGGGCTACGGAGGTCTCAAATCCAGTCCTGTGGAGCCAGGAGCAATATGGAGATAGCAACCCTCCTATCTATGACATACAGTTCAGTATTTGCCGTATATTCCACTCAAAATTTGACAATCACCAGTGCAGTAGAATTTCAATCATTTACAAACTCCAAAAAGGACCAGAATAATCATAAACTCTTTCTCTTTTGTGCAGTGTTGTGAATCAAACCACTCTCTTCATGCATGCTTGGAAAGCAGCTACACCACATGATCCACACTCAGTTCTTTCCTTAGTATGTTCTTTTTGAGATAGGGTTTCACTAATTCTTCCCTGGCACTGGTCTCCTCCTTTTGATCCTCCTGACTTCTCATCCTAAGTAGCTGGGATTATACTCTTGCACTGCCACACCTGACTTAGCTACCACTGTTGATTATTTCTTTTTTTCTCTCCCCGCTCAAGTCAATGAGAACACAAGTGCATTCCCTGTCTTTATGAATTTCTCAATGATTATTATTTTATAATAGGTGCTATGAAACAGTGACTAAGTCTTCGCATGTAGGCTTTTGTACTTAGAAAATAACCCAGTCTCATCAATGTTGTATCAGTATAGATGCATATGATGAAACTATTTTTATTAACTACTATTGATGAGGATTATACAAATTATGACACTCATGTAGTACCAATGAGAATATGTAAAGTCATACTCACTCTGGGAAAGTTTTTAAATGTCTCCAAAATACTCCAGTAAATTCATCATGTGCACCATATTTCTATTTTATCTGTATACCTAAGAGAAATGAAATTGTGTATTAACACAAACTTGCATAATGGATTGCTTAATAGAAGATTAAAAGCAATATATTGTGTCTAGCAATACATGAAGACCAAACAAACTGAGCTATAACCACATGGTTCATTATTCATAACTCTTGAAATGGCTGACCTTAGCATCCACATGATAATATAGATAACTATTGAAAATATCATCTAAAATGATACAAGCAACCATTCCCTATGATTATGTTGACATAAGTGTCTATAGTAGCCACATTCACACACAGAGAAAATAAGAGAGTAGCTTCCATTATCTATGTGGAGAAGAGTTGAATGATGAGGGATAGGTTTTCTTCAGTGGAGATGAACACAAGGTATTTTAGAATGATAACCTTGTGCAAATACACAAGCCTAATATATTTCACACTGAAAATGCACATTTCTTATAAGAGAACTACATTTCTCACAGATTGTTCTCCTAGTATGAAAGGGAAAGAAAATCTCATTGACAATAAAATAAAGACAGAGAAGACATCAGAAGACTGATTCTCAATCCAGGGCTCAATGTGAAACTACAGCAATTATCTGATCCTAAAAACGTGGCCACCTGGATTAACAGAACAGAATATAGAGACAAGAAATAGGTTTCCAGGATATACTGCAAGATGGCCATTTCCTGAAAGACACCAGATCAGCCAACACCCACACACCTGAAAGATAAATTAGGTTTGTGGCAGCAAGCATAGTTGGTCTTGTTAGTGCACTAAATAAGAGTTTTCCAAAATATAGACAGAGGATAACTACAGGGACAAACCTCAGAACAAACATGTCAGAGTGCAAACTCCCCAAATGTCTGTGGGCACTGCCAGGAACATGCTGTGACTTGGTGGATGATCTTCTATTTTTCCTCGGGGAGCACATAAGTTCTACACATTTCTTTGCATCAGGTTTTAATCTTTCCTCAGATAAGGTCTTCAAATTTCTCAGGTATGTCACTTATTTTCCTTACTTATGGTCTCCAAATTACTTGAGTTAAATTTTTCACCATTCATCACGTAAGGTCATTCTCTGTCCTCAAAGAGTGTCTCCTCTTACTTCAGATACATTCTTCTTTCCTAAGACAAGGTTTCCTGCATCCTCAGAAAGGGTTTTCACCTGACTTCTAATATCATCTTTGTCTTTTTTCTGATATGGTCTTAATCTTTCCTCAGGTTTGTTCTTTATATTTCCTCAGATGTCTTCATCTTTCTTCACGTACAGTCTTTATTTTTCTTAAAATTTGGTCTTTTATCTTCAGCTATGGTCTTCAACTTGCTTGAGAAATGGTTTCTACCCTGTTTCAGATGTGATCTTTATCTATCCTCAGATCGTGGCTTTCATCATATCTCAGATTTGGTCCTCATCTGTGGTCAAATATGCCTTCACAATTTCACAGATGCATTCTTCAACACTTCTGTACTTTTTCTTGGTGAACAATACCCAAATTATCTCAATCATCACGATTTATTTTGAACTCTCTTAATACTACATAAGAGTTCTCTATAACTGTAGTGATTAAGTACTGAGATAGGGTTGTAATATAATTATTAACATTTATAGAAACATAGCAACTTAAAATCATGATGACATGTATGATGTATCACCTTATTGGTTTCCTTTATCAACTAGAAACAATTTGCTCAGATAACATGATTATAAATTCTTTATGCTATGGCATAGGTTTTTGATTTATTTAGTCAGAAATAGGCACAGAAGGACTGGTTAATAAAATTTGGTTCAAAGGTCTATCTAATGCCAGTGTGAAGTCCCAATGTGTTCTCCTATCCAGAACACAGATCTGGGGCAGAGAGTTTAAATTTTGGTCTGCAGTATTACATCTCCTGGAATTTGACATGACTATTAAATCCACTTTTCATAAAAGTCCTAATAGTAAAGTCAGTAATAAAGTTGACCAACAAAATATATTCTAATATCATCCATTTATTGGGAAAATGATCTAATGAGGTGTGTGCCTGACATGAATATCTTATATTTCTCTTCCTATGATCAGTTTTCTAATCTACCTGAGAGACTAACTCCTTACACACTAGCTTTATGAAAAGCAGAACACTAAGGAAATCAAAAGCCATTACTTGAGGCATCTAATTCCTTTTAAGATTTCATATATAATATTAATACATGATACATTATAATAATTCCTCTCCATTACAGTAAAACATAGTATTTCTACAATTCCTCATGTATTCTTATTTCTTCATGGTTTTTCCACACCATATTTAAAAGTCTAATCAAGGCAAACGTTGTAGTAATTTGTGTCCTTCTGCTGTGGGGCTGTGTACCAGAATGCAACATATCAATGACACCTGTGGCCTAGGCACTAAGCATGGTTCATTTTCATTTTTATAAACAAAACACATTAACAGATTTCATGAAAACTCATAAGTGAACTGGGATGTAGAAATATATCAGCAACAGGACAACTGGTTTCTGAGGCCCTGGGTGTAGAGGAAATCCCAGAGCCTGAGAGGAAATGGCACATCCTCCACATTTTCCTGTTACACAGAGGAGGGAACAGACTCACTCTGAACAGAGCACAGAGGAGCAGCCTGGGATCTTGTGCAGGAGGCACCTGATGCCAAGTCACTGTGGTTTCGAGCACAATAATAGATGGCTGTGTCTGCAGCCTCTGTGGTGGTCATTGTGAGGAACACTTGGCTGTTGGAGCTGTCCTTGGAAATGGTGAGTCGGCTCTTAAGTGCTGGGTTATAGTATTTATCATCATCCCACCAAATGTTTGCCAGCCACTCCAGGGTCTTCCCTGGGGGCTGACGAATCCAGCTCACACCAATGTTAGTAGTGGACAGTGAGAAGCCAGAGAAGGAGCAGGTCAGCTTCAGGATCTGAGATGGTGGGAACAGCAAGGTCCAGACTCCTTTAATGTGACCTGGGACAGGAACCCTGTGGAGAAACACAAGAAGAAGATGAAGCAGTTGAGGTGGAGACAGGACAATTTCACCCCCATGGAGCACTGCACAGCACTCACAGGCAGGGAGAGTCAGCAGCAGCAGAGTTGAACACAGCTTGTCCATGGTGTTGAGCAGTCATGATCCAGGCTCTTTGATGGGCTTTTCAACCCAGTGGTGGGTGGGGCTTAGGAGATTTGCATTCACCCACAGGGATCTTGATCCTGATGAGTGAAGTCAGGTCTCAGGCATCAGAAGGGGAGCAATCTGTGATGAGTATCAACTGTGCCCTTAGGTGAAGATTCCATGTCTGCTTCCTATCAATTTGACCTGCCCCCTCAGGACCAGGATCCTCTGTAAACAATTATTCTGTTGAGAACCATGGTTTGGAGTCAGTGATTCCCTGTTCTAGTAGTTTGTTGTTCTCCTTGGATATGCAGCCAGGAATCACTGCAACTATTTTTCTTCCCTAGAGGACTGGCAAAAATACAAAGTGATGCATTAAAAATCACATCAAAAGAAGAGACCTATATGCCTGGGAACCTGCAGGATACTATTTCTGACTGCTTTTTATTGCCCTCGCTGTGATCAATAGAGAAGGTTTAAAGTCTACCATTATCAATGTTTGAGAAAATGGAATCACAGTATAATGAGGAGGCAATATGATAAAATCAGTGGGTTTAAGCTTAAGAAAAATTGACATGTGGTAAGTACTACAGCAGAGAGAAGCCTTGAGAAATATACCACCAAAAAAGACAAGTCCTGATGTTCTGACACAGGGAGGTCACCACAATCACTGCACATGGTGGTGTGTGGTAGGAGCTTTTCGGGTAGGAATCAGAGCTTCAGGAAGAAAGCTTTATGTTTGACTCTGCACCTGACATGTAGGCTGAGGCTGTGCTTGCTATGAGATGAGTGCCCCCTGCTGGTCCAGAGCACCCCTGCAGTGAGGTTTATGTCTGGACTCACACTGAGGTTCCCTCACCATGCACATCTTACACAGTACAGTGTCTTGATGATTACAGAGTTCAGCCTGGGAGAGCTGGTTCTTGGATGTGTCGCTGGTGATGGAGATGCAGCTTTTGAGGGATGGTCTGTATTATGTGTCCCCATTATAACAAATGGGTTCCATCCTCTCCAGCCCCTTCCCTGGTGCTTGCAGGAACAGACCCAGCAATATCAATTTTTGTTGTAGGGAATTCAGAGACAGCATGGGTTAGAGACAGGACCTGTGAAGCCTTCACCAGGCCAGGTCCTGACTCCTGCATCTGTCCCTGGGACAGGACACCTGGTAATAAGGAGAGTCATCTTCTGAGTCTCCTGCAGTCACATGCTTCCTAAAGACCCAGGTATGATATTGGGGACACCCACCCAGGGAGGCAGACAGTAGGCACAGAAGACACAACAGTCTCAGTTTCTAGACAACAGCCCTGCCTTCCCTCCAGATCTCAGTCCTGTGTGAAGGGAGAGCTGTAACTCCCACAAGCCTACAGTTGGACTTAACCTAAAGACTTCAAAACAATCTGCAATGGGGGAGTCCTTTTCTCACATGTGCAGAGGGACTGAGGTCTGGCTGACCTGGAACTTGCAATCTTTCTGCTTTATGACTCAAGTGGTGTTCAGTTTCGTGATAAGAGAGTAGCTCACTTTAGAAGGATGATCCCACATTCATAGAAGAGAGCTATCACCTCCAAGTTCTTTCCATCTCATTACTGATAGTCCAGTCAATATCCACCCAGCCTCTGGATTTGCTTCTTCACGGTTGATTCCATCCCAGATCCTCCTTTGTCTCTCTGATGGTGCTTTTGTTCCTGTAAAGGATTTTTGCCTTAGTGTTGAAAACAGAGATTACACCCCACACTCTACCAAAGAAGGTAGAGAACAGAGAGATGATGGAAAGAAACCTAATTATTAATTGATTAGGATAAAAAGAAAAATAGAAGATAATTGGGTAAGTCCTGGGTTTGCTATGTGCACTATGCTTGATGAGAAAGGAGAAACTTAGATCCATTCCTGTTTATGTGTCCCAGAACAGGTCGCTTCTCTCATGGATCCAATCTGAATCCCACAGACTTTCCAAAGGAGGGATTTAACTGAGGTCTCTTTTCTCATGGAAAACCACTCATTCTCATCCATTGAGCATACAGAAACCTTGTTTTGGTAACCACAGCAGAGTCATTTCTGTACTCATAGTTAACCCTGAGAATTTGTTTAGGTGGAACTATTTCTTCATATTAAAAGTAATAGTCTTTTTAGTGCATAAAATTTTACAGAATAATTAGATTACTTGTGATATTTTTAAATATAAATGAAATATACTGTGATCCTATTGACCCGTCAATTCCCTCTTCCCTTTCCTGTTTTTCCCCCCAATTCCCATCTCTTCTCAGGTAGTGTCCCTTCTACTCCCATGCCCAAATAAATGATGATGATGACAATGACAATGGCGATGATGAAGATGGCTACATGCATGAGTGTTATAGGAATACACTCCAGGCCTTGTTGGATGAATATCTTGAAAAGATGTTTTCCAGTTTTTTGCCCAACTCTTTCCTCTACTGATTGTTTCTTTCTATGCAGATTACCTTTTTTAATGTAGTACAATCAATTTGCCCATTCTTGCTACTATTTTCTGGGGTGATGTAGCCTTTTTCGGGGAAGTTATTGCCTATGACTACATCCTACAATATTTCTCCTCCTCCCTCACCAAGTAAACAGGGAAGAAAGGGCAACATTTCCATCTTTTATAAATGTTGAGGTCCTTTCCTTGTTTGGACTGGCTGTTCATTTGTGTTTTGCTCACTGTTATTTCTCATACCTTCATCTCACATGCATTCCAGGATTTCTTAACTTGCTTATTCTCTATTTTTCACTTCCTGCCAACATCATTTTTATTACTTAGTTATTAATAATTTACCATTGCTAATTTTTGATTTCTGAGTTCACCCTTTAAGAGTCCCAGCTTTCTTATTTTCTCCTATTTAGATTTATAGTTGATGTTTCCACTGATTGTACTCCATCTAACTCTCTGGTGTAATTTTGATTTGTAGTTTCTGCAGCCTGCTTTATTCTCTGAATAGGAGTGGGATTCAGACCTCAATAGCCAGCTGTCCTCTGAGAAGAGTCCAATAAAAATGGAGATGGTTTCCAGCTTAACATATGAACTTAAACAGAAGAACACAAGATATTTGAAAAACAGTTTGATTTTATTCTCTAGAAGATAATAGCCCTTGACAACTGAATTCAACAATATGAATGTCTCAAATGCTGGTCCAAAATTCAAAATTGCATTTAAAATAAAGAACTGTTATTTTAAAGGAGTTCACAGTGAGAAGTTTGTCTTCAGTCAAGATATTACTTTCAGTTTGGGTTTCGAGCTATTCTGGAAAAGAACTTTGGCTGATGGTAGATATGATGAAAGCATTTTGCATTGTAGGATGAATTTGAATCTTGGGGCCAGGTGTGTAAAACTTGCATGGAAAGGATGCTTTATGCTGACAAGGTCTGTGGCCCACAGGCTTCTCATTCTACCACATGTCTGAAACCTGATTTTTTCTCTTTCCCTTCTGAACTGGTATTAATGTGTTGGCTGCACAGAAGTTTCTTTGTGGCTGGGAATGAGGACTGTGAAATCTCAGCTCCCTTGTGCAAGACAGAGTTGGAAACTAGCAAGCCTGTTATACCCCTTTTCTGCACAGTTGGGTAAGGCTTCCCTCTTTGAGTTTTCAGAGTGAATTTCATGTTTTGAAGTTGAATTGGTGAATTTTGCATTGCTGTGATGAAATTCATGTGGTTGGTTATAGTGGAGAACAGGATTGCTGAACTCACACAGGTGGATTCTCATCAAAACAATGATTCTACATCACAGCTCCACGGGCATCATGAAAACCTCTATCTGCCATCTCTATTTCATATATGATTATTTATCGGCCCATTCCCAACCAGTTTCCTGTACTTTTGACAAAAATCACACTATCATTCATAATGAACAAAGGCACTATTTAGAAAAAACATCACAAACTCTTACCACCGATTGCCTTGTTTTCATTTATTAAATTCAACTTCTTCTGAGGCACTTATCTTCACTATCTACACTAGCTATCATTTGCATTAAATAAACCAAATTTGATCACTTAAGCTACCAATCTATCTATTCATTGATCTAGCTATCTATCTATCTACCATTCATTTGCTATCTGTAACTATATGGACACTTCTGTCCATGTACATTGGCCAAATCGTTAAGATGGACAAGCTCACTTCATTGGCTGGAGGGAAAACTGTGTCACCATTTAAGGAAGTCCTGAACACAACTGAGACAATGTCTCCTCTCTGATAGGTCATGCAGGGGTGGGCAGAAGCATCCAAATTTCAGACTAGATGAGAGTTTGGTAATCCTGGGGAAACAAAGTAGGGATTTTGATCTGGATGTGACAAACAGTACATTTACCTGAATCTTCCCTGTCCAGTCACTATGGTGATTGATTTTAACCTGCACTCCTGTGTTCACAGAAGCACTATTTTCTGTAAGTGAGATTTGCAATCAACCCACAGCCATAAGATTGTGAGAGGATAAATTAGTAATTGTGGTATATACAAAATGGAATACTATTTAACATAAGAACACTTTGTCATTAATGACACTTATGAACATGGAGCATAATAAGTTATGTGAAATAAGCCAGGCACAAAGGATGAAAAAGTATTTTCTCACTTAACTGTGGAATAAATAATAGCTGTCTTCAGCAAATTATGGAGTAGAATTTTGGTTAGCAAGGATAGGAAAATGGGGAATGAGATTTTATTCAAGTGAACTGAAGTAGTCATGTGACATTTGATCATGCCTGTAATCCCATCTACTAAGCAGATAGCAATCAAGAGGATCAGGTTTCCAGGACAGCATATTCAAAACATGAGTGAGACCCCATCTTAACCAACAAGACAGGTGTGAGGATATATACTTGAGACCTTAGATACAACTGATAATATAGATAGGAGAATAGCCATGAGGCCAGTCACAGTCAAATAGCCAAGAACCTCCCTGAGGTTCTTGCTGGGTGCATTCAGGGTGCATGGCTTAAATGGTGGAGCACCATTCCAACAAGTAGGAGGCCCTGATACAAATC